GTGTCAAACTGTCAGAGATAGATGTCGGGTAGGACGGGCCAAAGATCGACTCGCATGTCGATTATGACTGACTGCGGCGACCACACAGCGCTCAGAAAGGTAGAGGGGCGAGCTTTTCAGAGGCAAGCGATTGCACGAAATCCCACACTGGTGCATTTTGGGGCGCTGTGGGCCCCCGGCGCTGGCAATGAGACCGCGCCTTACCTTTTCACAAGGGGGGCCCGAAAGGAACTGAACCCGCCAGGCAAAGCTTGTGCTGTGAATAGAGCAGGCGTGGTCTCTACTCGCCAGAGAGAAAGGAACTAAATTCTAAAACAAGAAAAGAAAAAGACCGATTATGCTCGATTGATGCGTCTTGCGGGATGGCTTAGCGGGTTCGAGCCGTCACACATTGGAAAACAAAACAAATCTCTCTGTCTCACATTGGCTGCCGGGGTGTGCCGAGGGGGTGGCTGGGTGGGCGGTAAGCCGTCATTGCCCGGCGCTGCGTGCAGCGCTCTGGAGCGCCGTCACGACAGCTGCGCCGTCTCGCCGTCCGCCTAGCCATTACGTTGGTGACACCGCTGACTGCCAACGTAGCCTCCGGGACCTCAGTCGTTGTCGCTGCGCCTCCGGTGACTCCACCGCCGCCTCAGGCTGGGCCATTCAGCACCGGCACCGGCTTTAGCACCGGCACTGGCTTCAGCACTAGGACCGAGGTGAAAAAGGACCCACATCTTCACTTTGCGCACGGCGGCACCGCAGACTTTCGCGGCAGGCCGGGGCAGCTCTACAGCTTCTTCTCGGCGCCGGACCTCGCACTCAACGTGAAGACGGAGGAAGCGGTCTTCAGGCTACGAAGGGGCAGGCTGCTCGTGAACGGCTCCTTCCTCACGGAGGCACACCTCGTCGCGCGCGTGGGCACCTGCCCAGAGGAGCTCCGCCCGAAAGGCGGCATCGGCCCGCTGCCCGCCGGTGCGGCGCGCAAGTGCGTCGGAGAGAAGCGCAAGTGGGCGAATATCTCCTTCTGGGCCAACCGCCTCAACGAGCACAACACTGGCTGGAACTTCGTCAACGGTCCGGCCCGTCCCACGCCCCTTGACCAACCT